GAATAACAATGGTATATACAGATTTAAAGTAATGCTGAAGATGTACACACACACACACACACACACACACACACACACACACACACACACACACACACACACACTCCAAAACAAATGAAGGAGGGAAGATTTAAGATTTTTATAGTCTCTGGGCACCAGTGGCTGGTATCTGTAATTTTAGCTACTCAGGAGCTTGAGATCTAAGGATCATGGTTCAAAGCTAGCCTGGATCTAGGGAGATCTGTGAGATTCTTATCTCCAATTAATCAGAGAAAAAGCCAGAAGTGGTGTTGTGGCTCAAGTGGTAGAATGCTAGCCTTGAGTAAAAATAGCTCAGGGACAATGGCCAGGCCCTAAATTCAAGCCCCTGGAGAAAGAAAGGAAGAAAGGAAGAAGGGAAGAAAGAAAGAAAGAAGGAAAGAAAGGGAGAGAGAGAGAAAGGAAGAAAGAAAGGGAGAGAGAGAGAAAGGAAGGAAGGAAGGGAGGAAGGGAGGAAGGGAGGAAGGGAGGAAGGAAGGAAGGAAGGGAGGAAGGGAGGAAGGGAGGAAGGGAGGAAGAAAGGAAGGAAGGAAGGAAGGAAGGAAGGAAGGAAGGAATGAAGGAAGGAAGGAAGGGAGGAAGGGAGGAAGGGAGGAAGGAAGAAAGGAAGGAAGGAAGAAAGGGGCTGGGAAGGTGGCTGGCTCAGTGGAAGAGTGCTTGTCTTGCATGCATGAGGCCCTAGGTTCTATTCCTAAGCATCACATAAGCAGAAAAATCCAGAAGTGGCACTGTGGCTCAAATGGTAGAGCACTGACCTTGAGCTGAAGAGCTGAGGGACAGTGCCCAGGCCCAGAGTTCAGGCCCCACGACTGACAAAAAAAGGAAGGAAGGAAGGAAGGAAGGAAGGAAGGAAGGAAGGAAGGAAGGAAGGAAGGAAGGAAGGAAGGAAGGAAGGAAGGAAAAGAAAAAGAAAAAAACAACAAGGAGCTTAGGGACAGCACCCAAGCCCAGAGTTCAAGCCCCAGGACTGGTGGGGGAAAAAAAGATTTTTGCAGTCTATAATTCACATTGCAGAATGAAAATATTCTCTGTGTATGTGTGTGTGGGCATGCATGTACACATGTTCTAGTACTGAGATTTGAACTCAAGGTCTCAAGCTCTCCTTTAGCTTTTTCCACTCAAGGGTAGTGCTCTACCACTTGAGCCACAGCTGTTTCAGGCTTTTTGCTGGTTAATTGGAGATAAGAGTCTCCTGAATTTGTTTGCCCAAGTGAACTGAAATTCTCAGATCTCAGCCTCCTGAGTAGATAGGATTACAGTCATGAGTGAGCCAACAGTGCCCAGCAACAGTCTTGTTTTATAATCATAAAAACTAAGAAAAAGCCCAGTGCTGGTTGTTCATGTCTACAATCCTAAACTACTCAGAAGGCTAAGATTACAGTTTGAAGCCAGGCAGGGCAAAAAAGTCTGTGAGATTCTTATATCCAATTAACCACCAAAAAAGCCCAAAGTGGGACTGGGAATGTGGCTCAGTGGTAGAGTGCTTGTCTTGGCCTTACCTGCATGAAGCCCTAGGTTTGATTCCCCAGTACCACATACACAGAAAAAGCTGAAGTGGCCCGGTGACAATGTGGTAGAGCGCTAGCCTTGAGCAAAAGAAGCTCAGAGTCCAGGCCCTGAGTTCAAGCCCCAGGACTGGAAAAAGAAAGAAAGAAAGAAAGAAAGATAAAAAGAAAAAAAAAAGCCCAAAATGGAGCTGTGGCTCAAGTGTTAGAACACTAGCCTTAAGCAAAAAGACTCAGTGGCAGCACCCAGGCCTTGGGTTCAAGCCCAAAGATTGGCATACACACACACACACACACACACACACACACACACACACACACACACACACACACACAAAAGAATGTTTATAGACTATTGTTTCTCATAAAAGTTACTTGGACAACAGCTCCAGAGTCATAAAATGCTTTTCTTTCTTTCTCTTTCTTTCTTTTTTTTTTTTGTGGTGTTGGGGATGGAACTCAGCACCCTGAGCATGTTAGCAAGTGCCCTACCACTGAGCCATACTCCCAGCCCCTAACTATATAGTCCAGGCTGGTCTTGAATTTGAGATTATCTTGCCTCTGCTTCTGCCTCCCAAGTACAGGTGTATACTACTAGACCCATACCCAGCCTAAAGGATTCCTTAAAGGGGGCTCATGGTATGGTGCTCTTAAACCTACTTTTTTTTTTTTTGTGGTGCCAGAAATTGGACCCAGGGCCTCATGTATGCTAGGTACAGAGTCAACAACTGAGTACACCCATTCTTATTTATCTTATATTTTATTATGACAAAGCATCATTCTACACTTTGGAGCTTAAATCCCCCTGGACCATCTTGTTCTTTTATCCTTGAAATTCAGACTTGCCATAACAGAGATCCAGCGTGACTAAAACAATGCAAGGGATGCCAAGTTTTTATTTTTCATCTTGATGAAAGGAATGGTGGTTTTTACACTGTCCAAGAACAAACAGAACTACGACTCCTGTTTCACAATTTACACAACCTAATGGAATTTGTGTACTTCTGACAGTGTGAACATATTTCCCACAGTTTCCACATTTGTTTTCCTCTGAGAGGTTGTCATTTTTTTTTTCTTTGCAAGGGTGGTGGGGAGGAGGTAGGGTTTTTTGTTTGTTTGTTTTTGTTTTTTAATGTAACTGATTAAAAAGTTTTAACTTTTTTCTTTTAAGTCAAGAATGGCTGGGAGCCGGGAGTTGGTGGCTCACGCCTGTAATCCTAGCTACTCAGGAGGCTGAGATCTGAGGATCGCGGTTCAAAGCCAGCCCGGGCAGGAAAGACCGTGAGACTCCTATCTCCAATAAACCACCAGAAAACTGGAAGTGGTGCTGTAGCTCAAGTGGTAGAGCGCTCGCCTTGAGCTGAAGAGCTGAGGGACAGCGCCCAGGCCCAGACTTCAAGCCCCACAACCGACCAAAAAAAAAAAAAAGAATGGCTGGGTACTGGTGGCTCATGCCTGTAATTTCAACTACTTAAGAGTTTGAGAACTGAGGATGGCATTTTAAAGCCAGTCTAGGTAAGAAAGTCTGTGAGACTTGTTTCCAATTAACCACACACACACACACACACACACACACACACACACACACACACACACAAAAGCCAGAAGTGGAGCAGTGGTTCAAGCACTAGCCTTGGGCAAAAAAAAAGCTCAGGGACAGTACCCAGGTCCTGAATTCAAACCCCAGGACTGGCGTACACACACACACACACACACACACACACACACACACACAAAGTTGAGAATGGTGATGCTTATAATCCTAGTACTCAGGAGGTAGAAGTTAGAAGATCCAGAGTTTCAGGCTAGCTTGGGCCACATAGCAAGTTCAGGTCTAACCTGGGCTATATAATGAGACTTTGTCTCTAAACAAAGAACTCCATAAGCCCTAAAGAGTACAAAGTAAATCTTCCAGGTACAAGCAGAGGCAAAGCAACCCAGTCATCGGCATTTGTGTCACACACCCTGCAGACACTCACACCCAGAGCACACCACACACACACTGCCTGAACTCACCAAACATGGACTGCAATGTTCTTTCAATGTCCATGGACCTAGGCCCAGACACTTAATCCTCTCTGCCAGGACAAAGCCAGCACGGTAAAGCCCAGAAGGGGACACAGAGAAAGCACTGGGCCTAGCCTCTGGCTCAAAGCCGTAGGGCGGGTCACAGAGATGCCAGCACCTCTTCAAGCTCTTCACCAAAGAACCACAAGTCCCCAGAGCTCCCAGAACAAAACAAGGGCCTCTCAACAGCATGACTCCTGACTCACCGGCAGAGAGGGAAATCAGAAACCACAAATAGTAACAGTAGGTGTTGTATCTTAAAACCTCTCTCACAGGGAAACTGAGGCAGATGAGATTTCTCTGCTGAACAGAAATGTCTCAGAAAAGTAGCTATGAATGGTGCCCTTGCCCAACCAGGTGAAGCTACTGAGAGCTCCCTTCTGTTCTTTCTTTGACTTTCTTTCTTTCAACCTGCACCTTCTTTCAGCTCCCATTTCCATCTCAAAGAGAAGCCTATTTTTGGCACCCTGTTCTCCCAAGAAATGGGTGTTTGGCATCATGCAGAAACAACTCTCTCTCCCCTTTGGAGGCTGCTGTGTTCTGGCATTGAGAAAACCAAGAAGAAAGACACAGGTGCTCCTCTGAGTTTTTCATTCAGGTCTGGGTAAGGCAGAGGCAAGGACTGGGGAGATTTCAGGGAGGTTTTCTTTGGGGTTAAACTGTTAGCCAGAACTCCCAGAGACCCTGGTGACAGTAGCCACGGAAAATGAAAAGAAGAAAGGGGGAGGCAGTGGCTCTTTTTTCTTCCCTAGCCACAAAGCTAGTTAGTAGCTCTCCCCGTGCTAAAGTCAAGGCCAGAAGTTCAGCCTGAGAGCAGTGCCCTGCCACCAACAAGACCTCCCAGCTCGAGACCATGACCAGCTTTGCTGCAGTCACTGTGTCTACTGGAGGCCTTGCTTGGGACATCAGGCAATGTGGATGAATGGAAAGTGAGTTAGTAGAAACCAATAAAAGCTGTGTCAAGTTCCGCAGATTACTAAACTCAAAACTCAATCGCCCTCTCTGTTTTTTGTTTGTTTGTTTATTTGTTTTTCTTTTTGCCAGTCATGGGGCTTGAGCTCAGGGCCTGGATGCTGTCCTTGAGCTTCTTTTGAGCTACAACACCACTCTGGCTTTTTCTAAGTAGTTTATAAGAGTCTTATAGACTTTTCTGCCTGGGCTGGCTTTGAACCACAATTACAAGCATGAGTCACTGGCACCTGGAAAGATCTTCTTTAAAATAAATTTTTTTAAACCCCCAAAAAACTCAACATTTGAAAGCTGATGTGTGACTCAAGTAGTAGAATGTCATCCTTAAGTGAGAAAGCCAAAAGAGAGTGCAAGCCTCAGTACTGTCACAATAAATAGGTAGATGATAGATAGATAGATAATCAATCAGTCAATACTTACCGTTAAAGAGGTGAAAGTCATGCACATCCCACCAAAGCCATTCAGAGCCAGGGCGATGAAGATGAGCACAGAGAGAGCTGTAGGGAATAGAGTCATAAGCAAGGAATCATAGATAATCTTTGGGGAGGCCAGGGCCTGGTCCCTCCGCCCCACCCCTCTGCATGGAACAGGTTCCCATCTGATGCAGGTTGAATGGAGGAAAAGCTATAGAGGGTTAGTGCCTCCTCCTCCTCCTGCCTACCAAGAGCTTGAGCTCTTATAAAAAGCACACACCTGTCCCCCTTTGTCTGCTGACCTAGCAGCAAGCAAGAGGCCCACAATACTCTCAATGACACTATACACCTAGGTTACTGAAAAACTGGGGAGGAGCCTGGTGAAGATTTTGGCAAAATGCAGATCCTACTTTGGTATTTGTTCGGAAAGTCCTTGAAACAATGGATGGGTCTGAACAGGATAGAGAGCAAGTCACTTCTAAGGCATCTTTTTATTGTTGAGAAGATGGGGGCTTCATATACTCTGAGAGCTACAGAGAGTAAATCACCCCAAGGGACTTTTTCTTGGGGTGGATTACTCTCTTACCTGACCACTCATTTGAGATAAGAAACTGAGTATAGAAGCCTAACAGCTGTCCACTCCAGGCAAGGACTACACGTACAGTATCTAAGAGCAGGTAGCCAGGAAGCACCTCTGGACAATCTCTCCCCAGTTCCTGATGGAAGAGTAGAGCAAAGGGGGCTGGGAAGGTGGCTCAGTGGTAGAGTGCATGCCTTGCAAGCATGAGGCCCTGGGTTCGATTCCTCAGCACCACATAAACAAAAAAAGCCAGAAGTGGCGCTGTGGCTTCAGTGGTAGAGCGCTCGCCTTGAGCTGAAGAGCTGAGGGACAGCGCCCAGGCCCAGAGCTCAGGCCCCATGACTGACAAAAAAAAAAAAAAGAGTAGAGCAAAGGCATACTCACAGTTTGGGTTACTTGCTCCATATGCAATCAGCAAGCAGGAGACAGCAAAGCAGGCACTAGAACCAAGCAGAGAGAGTATATTATGTATTATTGCATTATTGACACTATTATGCAGTCTTATCATGGGGAGATACTATGTGTCATTTTAGAGCACTTACAATCATTATTTAATTTACAATTATAGGGGCTGAGGGCATAGCTCAGTGGTAGAGGACTTGGTTTACGTCCACAAGGCCCTAGGTTTCATTCTCCAATATTAACAAAGAAGAATACTGTAGTTGGCCTCAATTTACTAATGAGGAAAATAAATCTCATTAAAAATAAAATGCAAATAAAACACAAATCCTAAGTTTTTGTTAGGTTAGGTTTATAGGTCCATGGTAGAGTACTTGCCTAGCATGTATAAGGCCTTGGGTTCAATCTCCAGCACTATCTCCCCACCCCCACAAAAAAAGGCAAACCAAAACCAAAAATCCAAACCCCTGATTTCTCTCAAGATCTCCTACCTAGCAAGAGGCTAGGCCAGAATGGATGCCCCAAAGCCTGGTTCTATGAATGCCATACTCCACTGCCCCTCCCCGACTGGACTGGAGTGGGCCCAGGCTAGGGAGGGAGAAAGCACACAGTTCACCCCTCAGGTTCCTGGGCCCACTCAGCCACAGCATGGACATGACCTACCAGGCAGGGTAAATGTCTGGCTGGTTCCAAACTCCTTCGCTTAGCTCTTCCCTGGAAGCTAGTCTCTTCACTAGAGTGAAAGGCACTAATTCTCCAACCTTATATACATTCCCTTCATGGGCACAGGACTTATCCACTATAAGCTATTGCCTGAAAAGGTGGTTATTCCCAATGGGAAATGGCTTGGAGAGACCCTGACTTAAGAGGGCTAGTAGATGGGGCTGGGAAGGTGGCTCATGGTAGAGTGCTCACCTTGCATGCATGAGGCCCTGGGTTTGATTTCTCAGCACCATATAAGCAGAAAAAGCCAGAAGTGGTGCTGTGGTTCAAGTGGTAGGGCACTAGCCTTGAGCTGAAGAGCTGAGGGACAGTGTTCAGGCCCCACAACTGGCAAAAAAAAAAAAAAAAAAAGAGGGCCAGTGGATTGGAAACTGGCCAAAGTCTAACAGACTAGAGCTGTATGTATCTACGTTTATGTATATATATATATGTATGTGTTTGTATGTATGTATATTTGTAGTTTTGGAGCTCAAACCTAGAGGGAGGAAGGGAGGGAGGGAGGAAGGAAGAAAGGAAGGAAAGAAGGAAGGAAGGAAGACAGGTATACATATAGTTTGTATTTGCATGTGCTTATATTAAGATTACATGCTTAAAATCTTTTAGGGAGCTGGGAACCAGTGACTCATGCCTATAAGCCTCACTGCTCAGGAGTCTGAGATCTGAAGTTCTAGGTTCTGAGCTAGCCCAACATACAAATTTGAGAGGCTGCTGTCTCAAATTAACCAGCAAAAAGCCTGAAGTGGAGGTATGGTTAAAATGGTAGAGCAGCAGCCATCAGTGAAAAAGCCAAGTAAAAGTGAGAGGCTCTAAGTTCAAGCCCTACTACTGGCACATGCATACACACACACACACACACACACACACACACACACACACACACACACACACATACACACACACACTCCTTTTAAGGAGTCCCTCAGTTTACTTTCTAACACAATCCATCCAGGCTTTTACAGTGTACTTGTTAGCTCCTTCCAGAAAATGCAACCCAAGGGCTCCACCTATCCACCCTCTGCCCCCAAGGATCCCACACTGACCTGCCCAGCAGCCTGAGTTTCCTTGGACCATACTTGTCCATGATGATGCCCAGGGGCAGGGTGATGGCGCTGAGCAGGAAGGAGCCCACGGTGAAGGCCAAATTCAGAATCTCATCCTGGGCCTTGCAGCTGAGCCAACCATTCACCCAGCTCACCTCCTCATGTTCTGGCTCTGCGGTGCCTCCCACTGTGCCATTGGTGACATTCTCTGTGAATATAGAGGAAAGGAACATAGCAGGCTTTCCCAAAGAGCAGAGGGGCAGGTACATCATTCCATTATCCCACTGGGAATACCAGACTTGGCTCCGGGGCCTGGATGTCTATTTGACCCAAGTCCTCTGAAGCAATAATCTAGGAGTTAGCAACTTTCACACCAAAGACCATTTAGAGAATCCAGTAAAGAAAGTTGTGCTTGGGTTGGGAAGGTGGCTCAGTGGTAGAGCGCTTGCCTTGCATGCATGAGGCACTGAGTTCAATTCCTCAGCACCACATAAGCAGAAAAAAAAAAGTCGGAAGTGGTGCTATGGCTCAAGTGGTAGAGCACTAGCCTTGAGCTGAAGAGCTGAAGGACAGAGCCCAGGCTCAGAGTTTAGGCCCCTCTACCGGACCCCCCCCCCCAAAAAAAAAAAAAAAAGTTGTGCTTGCCGGGTGCTGCTGGTATGATCATATCTGTAAGCCTAGCTACTCAGGAGGCTGAAATCTGAGGATCATGGTTAAAGCAGTCTGGGCAGGAAAATTCATGAGACTCATCTCCAATTAACCACCAGAAAACAGGGAATAGCACTGTGGCTTAAAGTAGTAGAGTGCTATCCTTGAGCAAAAGAGCTTAGGGATAGTGCTCAGACCCTGAGTTCAAGCCAAGAAAAGGAAGGAAGCCACTTTAAGCTTTTTGGGGTAGTTCATTTGAGATAAGAGTCTCACAGACTTTCCTGTCCATGGCTTTAAACAATGATCCTCAGATCTCAGCCTCCTGAGTAGCTAGGGTTCCAGGTGTGAGCCACTGGAACCCAGCTTACTTATTTTATTTTTTGGGAGGACTGGTCCTGGACCTTGAACTCAGGGCCTGGGAGCTTTTGTGCTCAAGATTAGTGCTCTAGCACTTGATCCACAACACCATTTCTGGCTTTTTTGATGGTAAAATGGAAGTAAGAGTCTCTTGGACTTTCCTGCCCAGACTCTGAACTGGGATCTTCAGGTCTCAGCACCCTGAGTAGCTAGGATTATAGGTGAGGGCCTGGTGCCTGGTGCTTTACATCTTTATGTTTTGGGGGGAGGGGGTTAGTACTAGGGCTTGGACTCAGGGCCTCATGCTTCCTTGACTTGCTTGCTCAGCTTGTGGTCTACCACTTGAGCTATACCAACCATCAGCCCTGATTTTTGCTGGTTATTTTGGAGATGGAGTCTAGCTGACTGTTTCTTCCCCAGATGGCTTTGAACTGCAATCCTCCAGGCCACAGCTTCCTGAGTAGCTAGGATTACAGGCATGAGTCACCAGTGCCTGCTTTGCTTTAGTTCTGTTCTCGGGTAGTATCTTGAGTTTTGGCCTGGATCACCCTTGGACTGTGATCCTCTTACCTATACTTCCTATTTAGCTGGGATGAAAGGCACACTCCACCACATTTAGCTTATTTATTGAGGTCGGGTCTCACTGACATTTCTTTCCCTGGCTGGCCTAGAAACACCGTCCTCCTGATCCCTACCTCCAGAGTAGCTGGAATTACATGTGGGCTGCCAACATACCTGGCCTTGAGATGCATCTTTTCTTATTGTTCTTCTGGGCTATTGTGTGGCTGTCTCCTGTGACCACACCCAGACCCTGTTGGGTGCTAAAGCCTGGTGTGTCAGCCACACCTGTGTTGTAATTTCAGCCCTTAAGGGCCCCCCTCCAAAGTCCAACCAGCAAAGAAAGAACACAGAAGGCAGAAAAAAGTGCTGTGGTAGCTAAGCGAGGGGTGGGGGAGGATGGGGACAAGCTGAGATTGAGACTGAGGAACTGTCCTCAGCAGGACTGCTAGTTCAGAGGTGCTGACTAATCCCACAGAGACAGGACAGACTGATTAGATGCAAGGCTACACCAGAGAGCCAAGGCAATACTGCTCCTCAGATAACTAACTGCCTCCCAATTGCAGCCCTTTGGTGCCAGGGCTGTAAGGCTGAGGTAGGCAAAGGCTTGCCCAGGCATCTCAGGGCTGCCTCACACAACTGTAAAGAAAGCAGCTGGTGCAGACACTAAGGAGGCTGAGATCTGAAGGATCATGGTTCAAAGCCAGTCCAGGCAGAAAAGCCCTCCAGACATCATTTCCAGTTAACCAGAAAATTGAGCTAGAGGCATGCTTAAATGGTAGAGTGCCAGCCTAGCAAGTACAAGACAAGACATTGAGTTCAGGCCCGGATATGAGCAGAAAGAAGAGCTGGGGGAGGGGGGGGGGGGCGGGAGGCAGGGGGAATAAAAGGCAGGGGAATAAGAAAGCAGTTACGGTGATTCATACCACATGCTAACTTCTGACCAACAAGCTCTGCTGGGGATGTGCTGAGATTATGGGCAGAACACAGTCTCTGATTTCTAATTTTTGTTCCTCTGCTACACTTGAACAGACTTGGGGAAGTAGCTTGATACTGTTCTATCAGTTTCTTTATCTGTAAAATGGACATAATATAATAACAATAGTGTGTACATTTATGGTTTTGGGAAATATCAATGAGAAACTCAAGATGACATTCTAGGAGTGTGATTTAAGTGGTAGAGCACTTGCCTTGCATGAACCAGGCTCAGGGTTCAATTAATTCCTAGTACCACAAAACAAAACAATTCACAAGGAAAGAAAATAATAAGCTGGGTACCAGTGACTCACGCCTGTAATCCAAGCTACTCAAGAAGCTAAGAACTGAGGATCAAGGTTCAAAGCCAGCCCAGGAAGATAATCCCAAGAGACTCTTATCTCACAAATTCACCAGCAAAAAAGCTGAAAGTGGAGGTGTGGCTCCAGTGGGAAAGTGCCAGCTTTGACTGATAAAAGCCCAGGTGAGAGTGTAAAGCCCTGAGTTCAAGTCTAGCACCAGCACAAAAACAAAGCAAAGCAAAACAAAACCCAGGGAAGGTGGCTCAGTGGTAGAAGGCTTGCCTTGCATGCATGAGGCCCTGGGTTTGATTCCTCAGCACTACATAACCAGGGGAAAAAAAAAAGCTGGAAGTGGCGCTGTGGCTCAAGTGGTAGAACACTAGCCTTGAGCTGAAGAGCTGAGGGACAGCGCCCAGGCCCAGAGCTCAGGCCCCAGGACCGGAACCCCCCCCCTCCCCCCCAAAAAAAGTAGATCACATTCTAAAGCTTACACAGGCACAGGAAGCTTTCAGTAATAACAATTAAAAGTTACCTTTTTTTTTTTTAACCGGGCACCGGTGGCATCACACCTATAATCCTAGCTACTCAGGAGGCTGAGATCTGAGGATCACGGTTCAAAGCCAGCCTGGGCAGGAAAGTCCATGAGACTCTTATCTCCAATAAACTACTAGAAAACCGGAAGTGGCGCTGTAGGTCAAGAGGTAGAGCGCTCACCTTGAGCTGAAGAGCGCAGGGACAGAGTTCAAGCCCCACAACCGAGAGAGAGAAAAAAAAGTTACCATTTTTATTACTATGATTGGAGGTTTGGGATGAAGGAAAGGATCGCACCTGCCCAGTGCCCAGGAGCACAATACTAAGTCTGCTTCATGCATGATTCCATGGTCTAGTCTCCCACTGGGCCGGGAGCACGGGATGGCTGCTTGGGTCTTAGTTACCTCCAGGTCCTAGCTCCCAGCAGGCCCTGGCCCCAGCAGTTATTTACTGAATGAGTAAAAACAATGGAACTGGATCCTAACAGCCAAAAGGATCAAGACAGAGAAAAGGAAAGAGGATGTACAGATCCCAGGTGCAGATAGAGTGGGTTTAGGGAGGTTAGAGCCACAGGGTTAACTATGAAAACCACAGATTCCTGCTCCTGCCACTTTCTCCCACTTTTCTAAGAATAGTCACCACATCGAGGCTGAAACGTATGGCAGACAGGCCCTCTGAGACCACTGAGATGCAGCTCTGAATGGGTCTGTGTTGCGGGGTGGCAGGCCTGAGCTGCTGGCTTGTGCACTGTGGGGCAGTTCATGGAAGGGCAGAGTCACAGGAAGACGCTGGTCTCAGGAGTCAGCCCTGCCAGCAACAGGAACTGGACCGGCAGCTGAGGGACAGGGCCTTTTACTCAGCAGTGCCCATTTCCAGGTTCATGTGCAGATATGACCCAACCAGCCTGGATGTGATACAACAGATGGTGGAGGGAAGGTCCGTAAGCCCTGGATGGCCTGATTGTGAGACCTGATGGTGGTGTGCAGAGGCTGGAGCCCAGGACTACACTGGGACCTATGGAGTGCCACAGCTCTGACGCCGCAGGGAGCATAGGGAGCTGAGGACAGGAGAGACAAGGCAGTATTCCCTAAAAGGAAGGGCACCAGCTCCCTCCTCTACTGTCCCTCGGAGAAGCACCCACAGCTGGCTCCCTGAATCCATAATTCTTTTCTTTTAGGCCTGAGACTGGGACTCAAACTCGGTACCTGACGCTTTTACTCATTGGCTGCCAACTCTACTCACTGAGCCAAACTTCCAACCCCCTATGATTCTTTTCATTGCAGGACTGAAAATAAAAATCCAGAGTCACTGGCTAGGGATATAGCTCAAGGGTAGAGCACTAGCCTAGTGTGAATGAGGCCTCGGGTTTCATCCTCAACCCCAAAGGAGGGAGAAACAAATTCAAGGCATGTTCCCTAGGCAGCCTCTACCTCAGTGGGCCTAGGAATAGAAACATCTAAAATTGCCTGGAAATGTGGTCATCTGGTTACCAGACAGGGGGTCTCCAAGGAAAGGGGCCAGGTGCGAGTGAGAGTGTCTGTCTTTGCCTCTGTCACCCTGAGGCTACGATGCACAGAAGCAGGGACCTACACACCAGGCTTCTGTCTTAAAGCAATCCCTGCCAATGGGCCCACCTGGCCCTCTGCCCTCCTACCTCCAGACAGTGATGTCCAGCGACAGATGAACCAGAGGGCTGGGGGAGCTGAGTGGCCTTTCTTGTCTTGCTCAGGGAGCAATTTGAGAGTGTTCCTTGCTCCCGGAGAGAATGAAACCTTTGCCGAGTCCAGAAGTTTGTTGGCAGTCAACAGCCCACACACATAATCTCAGTCCCAAAAGA